CCCCCCCCCCCCCCCCCCCCAAGTTAAGAACATTATTGAGGGAAATAGAACAGGGAAGGAGTGGATACGCGGACCCCATTTCCCTAACCCCAACCCTAACCCAACTTTCCCGATTGCACTCTTAATCCAACATGTTTTTGCTTCATACAGAACCCCTGCAAAGGCTACTCACCGAGAGCACATGACTTCTCCCTCGTTTGTGCGGTATCTGACGCAAGATAGCACACCCCCTGGACCGATTGTCAATGCTCGATTTATCAGTGGCAGAAAGAGTCGCAGCGCCGAAAACGGCGCGGCGTCGAAGCCGATTAGTCGAAAGAAACCTTTCCGAAAGCGTATCGTATCGCTCATGCATCCTCTTCGTCGTGGAGTAATCGAGCTTTGAAAATCGGTCCAGGGATATGCTGTCTTGTATCGTATTCGGTAGTACAGTAGAGGTCCCTCCTTGGTGGAACATGTAGTTGTCGGTAAAGTGCCGGTGTTTTTGCGGTAGGCGAAGCGCTGAATATAATTACTAAGTCGTGCTGTCTCTCGAGCAGTGCCGGTGTTTTGAGGCAGGCACAGAACTGAATCACTACCATGTCGTGCTGTTTGTGGAATCGTGCCGGTGTTTTTGGCAGGCACAGAAGTGAATCTCTGATTCTCGAACAGTGCCCGTGTCCGGTATGGTAGTGTTAATCAATTCTCTGGGCACGTATCGGCACTGCAATAAACAGGGACCTCTACTTTTGAATGTAGCCCACACTACAGTAGGATAATTTTCGTTTTCTCGTTTGTTCAAGGTCCGTGTGTCGTGGACAATCTGTTTCATAGGCGGAGGGAGGGGCGTTGTGGTCGCACGCTTTCGCATGTTGTGGTTGTGGTTGTTGTTGTTGTTGTTGTTGTTGTTGTTTCTCACATTAGCTCTATAGTCCACAAAAAATGGGGAGCCCGTGGTCTCAAAACCCGGCACATACGACGCCGCGGGGGAACAAAACGAAAATAGGGTACGGACCACTCGGAAAAAGGAAACAAAAAGATAGAAAGAAAAGAACAGGTACCGCACCGACCGTTCGATGTGTGTGTTTGTCGTTCCTTTTTGTTGTTGCAGCCTTCGCGGGGGTACATTGCGCATCTACAGTGGTTGATTCGCTCTCTGTGCCACTATTCTGCTTCTCCTCTAGATGATGTCATTTTCAATGACGGCAGTTGAAGGCTACGGCTGGGGAAAGAGGGTAGCGACAACGACAGCGATAACAAACAGCAAACTTGTACAATGTTTTCCCCCCGGTTTTTTTGTTTTTCGGCCCCTTGCCATCCCCCCCCCCCCCCCCCCCCCCCCCCCC